CCATATAAATATGAAATATCAATCTGATGGATCGTTGACTATTTTAACCAGAACATCGGAACTTTTTATTGCAGGGATTAAGCGACACTTCGTATTAACTCCAAGGAAAGAGAGAGAGTCAGGTTTATAATAGTTAAGAAATTTATTTCTACACAATTTAAACAAGACTAACTTTAACACTCTGTGTACTGATGGACTAAGGTGGAGTGAGACGTGATGAATGATGGTGTGTGTGTGTGTGTGTGTGTGTGTGTGGAATAATATTCAGAACCAGCGGATCTGGAGAAGCAGTTAGTTCTGAGTGGGAGTGAATATTTCGCTTTAAACTTTAGTAGGAGGTTTATAACACACCTGAAATGCCATCTGTCGGTCTACGTACCCAGGGGAAGCCTCCGTTAGATCCAGAATGCCGAGGTCCTCGTGGACCCTCTTTGGTACCGAAGCCGATAGAAAAGCAGCGGTGCCGACCAAACTAGTCTTGGAATGCTTCCAGGTCACGACAGGTTATCACTGGCATCTCCGAGACCCTGAAGGGGTTGTGAGGTTCAGCTTTTATTCTGAAGGAACCGTTGCTGTCAGTTGTAACTTGCAACAGATTTTATCCAGCTTGTCGAGGTTCTTTATGGCTGAAGAGGAAGTCCGGATGGTCTGTCCGAGACTTCTCTAGAACGCGTTGAACTAAAGTAAAGGTGGCGTGGAATAGTTTTTATAATTGTCATATTTTGGTTTACTGGCGAATCAGAATTCGACATGCAAAAGAGGGTTTAAACAAACACCACAGATAACCACGCCTAGCCAGAAACGAAGGTTCTGATTGGATCAGACAAAAGGAAATATGTTCTGTGGCTTTAGCATTACGTGTCATTAGTGTCTAGTGCAAATGTCCAAGATTATAATTACTTGTAAAATACTACTGATCACAGGATGATAATATCAAGTAATAACATCGTCCTTTCACAGATCGATTGAACATTGGGCTCACATTATTATTGGTAATTAACAAAGTTGTTGATTATGTATTTACCAAAATAGTTCTTTGTTTTCACTTGGTAACAGAGGTGAAGCAGTTCAGATGAGCAGAGTGCATGAAAGACCTTGGCCACTATGTCATGTAGATTAGGCTGGCAGAGACGTTATGTCTCTGCTCAAGCAGACACAGCAGATCATGACCTTTAGGTCAAAAACAGGACATTCATGACGCTACAGATTTGATTGACATGTCCTGGTCGAAGAGAACACCAAGGTTCCTTACTTTGTTCTCGGAGACTAATTTACTTGTAGCTGTTGTCAATGTCTGCTATTGTTCCTTCTGGGAGGGAGACCCCTTCTGTGTGGACTATCTTCCCTTTCTTTGACACCTTCTGACCACACTTCTAAAGTCCAAATGACACTCCGATTTCAGTATTGTAGATCCTGGTGTGGATCACTGAGTCAATGTCTCGCTCGCTCTTGGCGTACAGCTTTATGTCATCCATGGAAAGGAGGTGGCTGACTGTAGTTTCATTCTTGAGTCAGTATCTATAGCCAGTCTTGTTGAATATTTGGCTGACAGCATGTTCTCTGCTATGTTTGAGGTCAGTAGATATTTTTGAGCTGCAGTTCAAAGGTAACTCATTAGATGAAAATATATGAAGCCAGGTAGCAGTTTTTCTTTAGGATTGAGATGTCACAACCAGGAGTAAATGGGACCCAAGTATTCGGCCAACACCAGAATGAAGCAGTAATAGTTTTTTTTATAGGTGAGGACTTGTTCTGACCCAGATGCCGGGCACAGGAACAGTTTGCTGGGCTGCTGAGAATTCCCTGGCGAGCAACACTGGAGCAAAATCAAAGCAGTTGGTTAGCGATCTCTCTCACCGTGGGGGGTTGGTCAACACAGAAGGCATGGTCCTAACAGCAATCCAGGTTGGTACACGGGGGGTCAGATATCAGGAAAGCGAGGTCCACCAGGCAGAAAGGAGTCAGAGAGCAAGCAGGGGTCGATAGCCAGGAGGTCCAGGTCTGTGAGGATTAGCAGGCAAGTGCAGCCAAGCCTGGGAGCATAAACAGGGTCAAAAATGTAGAAGGGATTGGCTTGGTAAAGGCTGGATTTCATCTGCAAGAGCTTCAGATAATCTGGCAATGGTTGGAGAGCCTGATGGATCTTATATAGCAGGGAAGGCAGGTGTGTGGCATGAGCTTGATGAGGGGACCAGGTGTGATGAATGAAGGCTGATGAGATGAATGACGGTGCATGGAGGTCAGGGCATGGCAGGATCATGACATGAGAGGAGACGCAGGAAGATAACAGACAGAGACAGGACAGAAAAATAGTCAAATAAAAAACAAGAAAACATAACAAAGTGTTTGAAAAGGAAAATTTAGTTAGATTCATCCCACTGCACATTTTTTACTTTCTAAGGCAATAATTTATAAGCATGTAATATTTTTATATTTAATACAATTCAGATCTCCTTCAAACCTCAGTCCCTCGCAGGACCGTAAGACATTTCGTCTCTCAGAGGCTGAAGGTGCAGAGGGAGAGGGGAGAGGGCTGAAGCAGGGCAACAGTAAAGAAGCAAAAACTACCGTTGTTAAAAGAAATTTGTGTTAAGTTTGAAAATGTGGGTAACATTTTTAATTACTTGTCAAAAACTCCAGCAAACACCCCTCAGAAATTGTCAGCCAGAAATGTCAAGTCACAAAGCTTTTACTACTCTCTTCATGTACAGGAACTAAAAATGGATGTCACCAATGCTTTGGTGCAAAGTGGTGCCATTGTATTTTGAAAAATGCTGCAGATAAATACAATTATGATCTTTATAGATAATAAGATTATCCTCACCCTGACAATATTCAAATAAACATTCAAGAGCAATTGCAGTCCATGTCAATTGTTTTCCTACAAAATATTTTATTTTGACATTGGATTGTTGTTTAGCTTGAGTTTTCTATCCACCTTAAGTTCTCATCTGGAGTATTTCTCTTATCCGATGACGCCACCTACTGGCTGACAAGCATATCACACAAAAAGTCTGTCGCTCCATTTTTTTAAGATGGCGATTTCACGTTTTTTTATATAAATGTGTTTCTGTTAAAAAACAGAACTGAAACACATTGTTTCACAAGTTTTATTCTCATGTCATGCTCTGTTTTCATATATTTATATTTTACTTGTCCGTGAAAAGTTCATCACCTCTGTATCAGCCAAGGTATTCCTCAAATCTGAAGCATGTAAGTGGGAGTCTAACGCTATTGGTTAGTTCTGGTCGGCGCTCAATTTCCTTTTGCACGGAGCTCTGCTAGCCTGGCCTGCCAGACTCGTCCTCTGTTTAATTCTGCACAATGAGTCTGTTTTTAGAAGAAATGCTTTTAGCGCTTCTACTTGTGGTTTTAAAGCTATTTGAGTCATTTAGAACAGAGGACAGAGTCGCAGCGAACTCTGCGGCTGTCTTCGTTGTTTATGAGAAACTGAGCTGTGTGTGACGTCCGCGGCGCTTAGTTTTTTTTTCAGCTGTAGTAAAAATGGAGTCTGATGACAGCACAAAAATCTTTGTTTAGAAGAAAGGCTTCTGGCGCTTCTACTTGTTGTGGTTTTAAAGACATGTTCAAATCACTTTGAACAGAGGAAAGAGCTGCAGCGAACTCCACTTCAGTCACCATGTTTATGACAAACTTGGCGTTATGGTGTGTGACGTACGATACTCAGTGCTGATTGGCTCGGTTAGAATTCTCACGGGGAGGGGTTATTTAAATAGGAGAGTTCCCAAACTCTTTCTCTGTGCAGAATTAAACAGAGGAGGAGTCTGGCAGGCCAGGCTAGAGCTCTGCGGGGCAGGGGGCTTAACCATAAAAAAGACGTATTGCTTACACTATATAACAGTACATGAGAAGATAATCACTAATACGGCTTTCTGAAAAATCATACATAATTTCTGAAAGGAGAAAACACTGTAAAGCTACTTTAATTGATCATCTGCTCAAAGTGTGCACCTCAACGATACATGGTTCCACCAATAGTTGGCACAAACACAACTTGGAAAAATTAATTATACCCTGTTTTGAACATTATAACCACATGCAATGAGAACAAAAAAGCACATTTTACTGCAACAGCTGCATTTGTGATTTCAGTTTTCTATATGAACCATCAGTGAATACGTGTAAATGAGAGTGAGAGAGAAAGGCAAAAGGAGATCCAGCACCTTCTAGCTTGCTTGCTAGCTATTTGGCCCAGAGACATTAAATTCAGGGATGTTGATTGGCTAAAAGTTCGTCAGATGTCTGTAGCAATCAAACATAATTGGCGAAGAAACTTGTGAGTCTGGTGGGGGACATTCACTTTTTAATGAGAGAGCTGGTGAAAATGATTTATAGAAAATTCTTATTGTATGTAGGCACACACAATTGAGGAAATCTGACATATTTATAAAGGAAGACCCATAACATGCTGGAGGAACTATGTCTATCTGCTGGCCAGGGAATGCCTTGGGATTCCCATGGAAGAGCTGGCCCATGTGGCTGGGGAGAGGGAAGTCTGGGCCTCTCTGCCTAGGCTATCGCCCCCGCGACCCCATTTTGAATAAATGGATGGATAGAGACGTATTTTTCATTTTAGATTTTTTCTCCATTGTGAGGGAGGGCGGTGTCCTAGCACCCCCTGTGAAAGCGTCGTCACTGCTGGAAGCTCTTCATGTGAGACAGATTTTATGAAAAATTTCATGAACATGCTTTATGAACCAGACTAAAAACAAATCATAATTTGTTTGATTTAAACAAGGGTTGGCTCTGATTAGAGGAACAGAAACACGCACGTGAACAGATGACCTGTTAAAGTACTGGAACCCGCTCTGTTGCACATGAACGGGTTACAGTGGGAAAAAGATCGAGTTTATAATGAACTGGTCAATTCAGGCGCTGTCCATGGTGCTTAACAGAATCTCACCACCCGCTACGCTACACCCGCGTCCAACAGATACACATGGAAACAACTTCCTTTTCCTCCACCAACCCATCTACATCCCACCCACCTCCCCACAGCCAGGAGAGCGGGCAGCAGTGTTTTGAATAAGAGCGCTCGGTCAGATCTTCAGGGTCTTCCAGCCTTCCAGGCGTAGCAAAGCCTAACCAAACTTTTTGTCTCTTTTTCCATTTTAAAACATTTCTCCCCTTTAGTCTCCCACCGCCCCCTTCGCACGAACAGAGAAACAAAGTTTTCAAACCCCCAGGAAACTGTTCTGAATCTCCACCTGACTCGTCCATATCTGATTCTTCAAGCATTTTAAAAACATTTTTTCCCCTTTTGCTTCTCCACGCCTGGTGAAAAGCAGAAATGCCTGAGACATCTTAGTTGGTCCTCCGCAGTGACTGCCATGCTCGTGGCCAACGCGAGCCTGAGCGGCTGCACGGGGTTAAACAGCGCTCACTGCGCCGCTGCCGGGGACGGATACCCGGGGAGTGCTTCGTACCGGACCACCCTCAGCCCAGCGGGACATCTGGTCGTGGCCGTGTGCCTCGGCTTCATCGGCTTCTTCGGGCTGATGAACAACCTGACGGTTCTGGTGCTGTTCTACCGCTACAAGCTACTTCGGTCCCCCATCAACCTGCTGCTGATTAACATTTCTGTGAGCGACCTGCTGGTGTGCGTGCTCGGGACTCCGTTCAGCTTCGCGGCCAGCACGCAAAGACGCTGGCTCATCGGAGCGGAGGGATGCGTGTGGTACGGATTCGCCAACTCCCTCTGCGGTGAGTAGAAATGCGCTTTTATTCTGTGGCATCTCAACTCAGGTCGCGCATTTTTCCTATTCTGTCAGATTTTGCTCTTTAGACTCGGGGAGTCCTGGTAGCTCCGATGACTGAGAAAATACAAGTTCTAGAGAATAAAAAAACAACGGAACGATTTCATGTGTGAGGTTGAAATAGTAAATCATAAGTCCTGGTATTTAATCGATGTGGTTCTCTGCATTTTCTCTCTTTAGACTCGTTTTCTTGGACGTAAAAAAACGATCAGGACGGTTTCTAATTAAATTAAAGTAGAAATGCAGATGTTCATATTTGTGACCCAGTTCAGCTGAGAGTTCAGACAGACCTAATGGCTCGGTTGTGGATGTGATTCCGGGTTTTCGGGGAAGCCGAGGCTCGGTGGACGAACTGGTCTACTGAAGGTTAGCGCATCCAGACCAGTACAGGTGTTACACCAAATTCTGCGACCCACCACCATTTGTGACCCCAGGGGGCAGTGTTGCGTGTTTTTGCGTCTGTACACCCTGAATTGGCATAAAAGAAGAAGATGCTACACTAAAACCGTAAACGTAAGCTTTGAGGAAGTTGTGATAGAGGAATCTTGAATCAGCTGTGTTGTGATACAAAAGATCTAATGACCCCCCTCAAGCGAAAACAAAGTCTTAAGAGAAAGAAAACCAAGTCTAACAGAGATGGTAGAAAGAAACCAGTGTTAATTCCGTTGACTAAATATTTTCGGGGTTTCTTTTTTCGTGAAGAATGAATTTTCACAGACTAAAATGAAACCAAGTATTTTCATGTATCTGTATAGTGTTTAGTTTGGAGATGGGTCTGTCATGCTTTGCGTTGGTGGGTGTTGGTCCTGGCCTGCCAGACTCCTCCTCTGTTTAATTCTGCACAGAGAAAGGGTCTGGGAACTCTTCTATTCAAATAACCCCACCCCCTTAGAATTCTAACAGCCAATCAGGGCTGAGTAGCGTACGTCACACACCACAATGCCGAGTTTGTCATAAACATGGCAACTGAAGTGGAGTTCGCTGCGGCTCTTTGCTCTGGTCTAAATGACTTGAACGTTCTTAAAACCACAAGTAGAAGCGCTGAAAGCCTTTCTTCTAAAAAAAAAAAAGATGTTTGCGCCGTTGCCAGACGTCTTCTACTACTACAGCTAAAAAACTACAGCATCGCGCGGTACAGTCGGCATTTCCGTCTTTTTTCTGATTGGTTATTTTTGCTGCCTAGTCCCGCCCCTCATGCGCCTCCCTGCCTGTGAGTTACCAGACTCTTTCTCTGTGCAGAATTAAACAGAGGATGAGTCTGGCAGGCCAGGCTAGGGTGTTGGTGGCTCTGGGGTTGGAAGTTTGAACAGTTATTGGTGGGTTGTGGGTTTGAACCCAGGCACCGTACATGTCAGGCTCTTGCCTGCCTGTGGTGATTGAAAGGACTCGTGGAGCCGATTGTGCGGCAGCCTTGCGGTGTGTGAAAGTGTGTATGAATTTTTTGAATGACTGATTGTAGAGTAAAAGCCTTTGTACTCCTCTGACTTAGAAAAGTGCTTTACAAATGTGTGACATTTACCATTTGTGTTGCTGCTGATTTCACCGTTAACTGATTACATGGATTAAATACGAATTCAACAATAAATATTGTACAAAGTAATGAAAGGTGAAGAAAAAGAGTTCAAAAAGATGATTTAAAATCTAGAAATTACTTTTCAAAAGGGAAACTAACTGACCTGAACCTGTCCAATGCGTGCGTTAGGTCATGTGCAAAGACAGGCTGACAAACATAACTCATATGTAAAATAAATCACATCTCAGTACGGTCAACGGTAAGATTGTATCATATACTGTGCTTACCTGTGCTGTCAAAGGTTTAAAATAGCATGATCTAGCCCTTTTAAAGGCTGAATTTTCATGGTCAGATAAATTCATCTGTCAAATAAATGACAGCGTTTCACTGGATAATAACATTTAATAAATTATTCAGAGCTTCTCAGCCTCTTTTTGCAGCTGTAAAACAACTGATTGGGGTTCTTAAATTGTTTTAGCTGCAGCTCGTGATAAAGTTTTGTAAAGGTTTGATCAGGTTTTTACAGGAGATTTACCTTCAGTCCTGATGTGAGAAGAGCGGCTGGCTGCTCCAAACCTTTCATTATCTGAACGCATCCTAAACACTGGGGTTGTGGAAGCTTATGCAGCTTTTCAGCTCACTGCCCTCTGTGTAAGTCTAAGTGGCCTCAAACAGCAGAAAAGAGATTAAAAATGGAGAATGATGGTAGATTACTTGGAAAAATACTACATGTCAGTTTGTGTCTTTGTTGGGATTTAAAACTATTGTATGTAATTGTGCTTCATCCAGTAAAGTTTTGATCAGACATTGGCGTCGTCGTCTTCCTCCGCTTATCCAGGTCCGGGTCGCGGGGGCAGCATCCCAACTAGGGAGCTCCAGACCGTCCTCTCCCCGGCCACCTCCACCAGCTCCTCCGGCAGGACCCCAAGGCGTTCCCGGACCAGATTGGAGATGTAACCTCTCCAATGTGTCCTGGGTCGACCCGGGGGCCTCCTGCCAGCAGGACATGCCCGAAACACCTCCCCGGGGAGGCGTCCAGGAGGCATCCTGACCAGATGCCCAAACCACCTCAACTGACTCCTTTATATCCGAAGGAGCAGCGGTTCTACTCCGAGTCCCTCCCGAATGTCCGAGCTCCTCACTCTATCTCTAAGGCTGAGCCCGGCCACCCTACGGAGGAAACTCATTTCGGCCGCTTGTATCCGCAATCTCGTTCTTTCGGTCATTACCCAAAGCTCATGACCATAGGTGAGGATTGGGACGTAGATGGACCGGTAAATCGAGAGCCTGGCTTTCTGGCTCAGCTCCCTCTTCACCACGACAGATCGGCTCAGCATCCGCATCACTGCAGACGCCAAACCAATCCGCCTGTCGATCTCCCGATCCCTCCTACCCTCACTCGTGAACAAGATACTTACCCCGAGATACTTAAACTCCTCCACTTGAGGTAGGACCTCTCCTCCGACCCGGAGTTGGCAAGCCACCCTTTTCCGGTCGAGAACCATGGTCTCAGATTTGGAGGTGCTGATCCTCATCCCAGCCGCTTCACACTCGGTCGTGAACCTACCTAGCAAGAGCTGAAGGTCAGAGCTGGATGAAGCTAGGAGGACCACATCATCCGCAAAAAGCAGAGACGAGATTCTCCTGCCATCAAACTCGACACACTCCACACCACGGCTGCGCCTAGAAATTCTGTCCATAAAAGTGATGAACAGAACCGGTGAGAAAGGGCAGCCCTGGCGGAGTCCAACCCTCACCGGGAACAGGTCTGACTTACTACCGGCTATGCGGACCAAACTCATGCTCCTCTGGTAAAGGGACTGAATGGCCCTTAACAGAAAGCCACCCACCCCATACTCCTGGAGCGTCCCCCACAGGGTGCCCCTGGGGACACGGTCATAAGCCTTCTCCAAATCCACAAAACACATGTGGATTGGTTGGGCAAACTCCCATGCCCCCTCCATCACCCTTGCAAGGGTATAGAGCTGGTCCACAGTTCCACGGCCAGGAACTGTGACATTGCCTTAAAGGTAACTCACGTTGACCTTCTGGACTTAGAAAAAGTAAAACAATGAAGACAACTGATCAAAAGGAATCCTTGAAATACATCTATTTTAAATGATCAATTTTTTATATTTACACTACATCTTGTTCTGAACTGTGACGAGATGGCAGAAAAGATTTTATTTCACTTCAACTCAGCCATATTGCAAAGAAAGTCTTTTCTCAGTAGGTGATTGGGTTTAGACTTTTTCCTGCTACACTGTGCCAAATGAGCCTGCACAACTCTAACATCCACAAGGAACCAATTTTGTCAAATTCTCACTGTTTTGTTTGATTTTTAACAAATGAAGCAGGACGGCAGAGGCAAAGAATGCATGTGTGTGTATAGTGTGTTTGTGTTTGTCTTTCTTTCATTGTGGGAACCACAGCCTGGCAGCATTTTTAAGTGACTTCTGTATTCACTTTTTAGCATATATCTTTTTCATTGCTGCACAACCTCAAGAAACGGTGGTTCCCACAAAGCATGGTCCCGTCATGTGTCCCCACAAGTGACTAAAAGCAAGGCTTTGTGTGTGTGTGTGTGTGTGTGTGTGTGTGTGTGTGTGTGTGTGTGTGTGTGTGTGTGTGTGTGTGTGTGTGTGTGTGTGTGTGTGTGTGTGTGTGTGTGTGTGTGTGTGTGTGTGTGTGAGAAACAATGCTGCTTTGACTGCCAGACATCATTAGAGCCTGCGGTGGCTATGGACATGTAATTCCTCAGTGGCCTCATAAAAACAGAGTTGGGGAGAGTCAGAGAGAGGAAAAGTGAAACTGATAGTTCAGATGAATAATGCTCACTTCAGCTTTAACAAAGTCAGTGTGTCTGTCCTTACAGACTCGCAACATTGAGCTGCTACATGATCAATGCCCCCTCAAACCAGAGGCCCATGCCATGAATGGGTGTAGTGGGCTGTCCTGCTTTGGCCTGACACTTGATTCATCTTAAAATTTGAATGACGATCTTCATCAAAATCCCATGAACTCATCTGACTTATTTTTAAGAGACATTTGTATATCTGCTGTAACAAGTGAATTTCTCCACTGTGGGATCAATAAATTCTATTGTATTCTTTAACAATGACTAAGTGATAAAGTGTGTTTTTATATAAAAGTTATTAAAACGATTAATATAAATAGTTTACTGAACAGTCTATGTTCAGAGAAAATGAGTTCAGGACTTTTACGACAAATAAACTAATAACTAGTCTGTACCTGCACAATTATATTGTTCAGCCTTCTGACGCTCACACACACACACACACACACACACACACACACACACACACACACACACACACACACACACACACACACACACACACACACACACACACACACACACACACACACACACACGAGTGTTGGTGAGCGGCTGCGTCTGACTGCTGACGCTC